CAATGTGATCATTTTTGAACAAGTACTTGTTTGAGTATTTTTTCAATTATTTTGAGTATATATTTAGGAACAACATTGCTAGGTCTTATGATAATTCTATGTTAAACTTTTTGAGGGACACCAAACTATTTTCCACAGCAACTATTTTCCACAGCAGCTATACCATTTTACATTCCCACTAATGTACACAAATTCCTATTTATCTCCATCATTGGCAACTAGCTATGTTTCTTTCCTTCTAAAAAAAATTATAATACTATAGAGTATAAACAGGTAGGTCATTGTGGTTTTCCTTCAATAGACATTTATTGGATGAGTCAGATGTATCAGGAACAGAAACCAGAGCCAGATTCTGAAATAAATTTCTGTCTTCAACATCTATTTTTAAATTTTAAAACATTAAAATAGGCCTGGGGCTGAAGTTGTGGCTCAGTAGAAAAGCGCTTGCCTAGCATGTGTGAGGCACTGGGTTCGATTCTCAGCACCAATAAAAATAAATAAAGGACCACCACCAACTAATAAAATATCTTTAAAAATAAAAAAAGTAAAATAGGCCTGGTACAGTGGCACATGCCTGTAACTTCAGTATTTCTGGAAGCTGAAGTGGGAAGGTTGCTAGTTTGAGGCCACACTTCATCTTGGTAACTTAGTGAAACCCAGTCTCTCTCTCTCTTTTTTTTGGTCCTGACAAGGTCCTCTTTATTTTGAGACCTTGTCACAAAATAAAAAATATATAAAAAGGGCTGAGGAATTAGGTCCATGGTTGATTGCTTGCCTAATATGTGTGAGACCCTAGGTTTGATCTCCAGTCTCTAAATATAAAAAAAAAGTTGGGGATGTAGTTCAGTGGTTGAGTGATACTGAGTTCAATCCCCAGTTTAAAAAAAAAAAAAGTCCCTGGTAACCTGTTCCTCTCCTACCCCATTATATTAAGCCCTTTTATGTTGCAATAAAAAAAAAAATAGCTGAAGCTACGTTCTTATAAAGAAATTTATTTAGCTCACAGTTCTTGCAGGTCTTAGAGTGTAGTACCAGCTTTTGTACAGCTCCAATGACGCCTTCATGGGGGGGGATGGCATCACCTTGGTGGGAGATTATGAAGATTATACAGAAGACATCATATGGTATGGAAGCCAGGGAGATTCAGAGATCAGTCCTTGCTTTTTTTTTTTTTTTTTTTGGTGGTGCCGGGGATTGAACCCATGGCCTTACACATGCTAGGCAAGTGCTCTACCACTGAGTTACTTCCCAGCCAGTCTTGCTGATTCATTTTCTATGGAACTAACTGGGGTCCCCAAAAAACTACATTAATCCATTTGCAAAGCAACAACCCCAATGACCAAATCACATTTCGTGTTAGTCAGTTTTCTATCACTGTAACAAAATTCCTGACACAAACAACTTATAAGGAGAAAAGTTTTATTTTGGCTCATGGTTTCAGAGATTTCAGTCCATGGTTGCTTGGCCCTGTGGCTTTGGGCCTATAGTGAGGAGCAGGAGCATGTGGTGAAGGAGGCCTGCTCACCTCATCACAGCCAGGAAGCAAAGAGCGAGAACTTGGAAGCCTGAAGCAGGAAAATCTCATTTGAGGCTAACCTGGGTAACATGTGAAACCCTGTCACAAAATAAGAAAAAAATATAAAAAGGGCTGAGGATTTACCTCCATGGATGATTGCTTGTCTAGTATGTGTGAGGTCCTGGGTTTGATCCCCAGTTCAAGGTGGTAAAGAGAGAAGAGAGGCTAGGGTCCTGATAACTCCTTCAAGGGCATGACCCCCAAATGATCTAACTTCCTTCCACTAGGCTACACCTCTTAAAAGCTCCAATAGCACCATGGCGGGGTACTAAGCCTATAACATATGGGCCTTTGGGGGACATATTAGATCCAAATTATAGCCCCTTCTACTAGGCCCTACCTCTTAAAAGTTCCAACATCTCTGAACACCACCACACTGGGGACCAAGTTTCTAGTGCATGAATCTTTGGGGGACAAATCACATTCAAACTGCAATACTTATCCTTGGAAACCACCATTGTACTTTCCATATCTGTGAATTGACTATTCCAGGTGGCTCTCATAACTAAAACCATACAGTATTTATTCTTTTGTATCTGGCTTATTTCACTTAGCATGTGTCTTCTGGTGTAGCTTGTATCAGAATTTCATTCCTTTTTATAGTTAAAGAGTATTTCATTGTATGTGTGTGTCACATTTTGTTTATCAATCCATGGACCCTTAGGTTCCTTCTATCTTTAGGCTATTGTAAATAATGTTTATATGAACATTGGTATACAAATACCTGTTGAAATTCTTGCTTTCAATTCTTTTAGGTATATATCTATAAATGGAATTGCAGGATCATATAGTAATTCTGTTTAACTTTTGTTTTGTTGTGCTAGGGATTTAACAC